AATTACTTGTACCTTATGATGCCAAAACCTTGTCAAACGTTGTACATTTGCTGTTATGTTAAACTTATATTAAAGCCATTATTAGTCTCAAAGTGGGTTCCTCATCATCGAATTTGAATTCATCTGGATCCTCTCTACCCATTCATGGATCACTATACAATGCAAACAAGTGGGTGAACGTCTGTCACTCTTGTAGCCCACTCAAGGTTCCTTATTGCAGAGCATGTTTTTGTGGTAAATTGTTGTGAACCATGAATCCTCAGGTTCACAATTTGGGTTTACTAACCACTAAACAACATCCAGCCCAATTTTTGTAACATTACACATTCCTCAGTAGTCAAGTGGAAAAAACAATGTCATATACAAATAAAAATAAAAGAAGGAACTATCTAAATATCAGCAAATTTAAAACACTGTAAAAAGCTTGATTTTTTTTATAACTGACACATTTAAAAAGTTGGCTGAAAAACTCTTACTCATATTAACTATCTGGTGTTTATCTTTCAACAAACTTTGAGCAGAATAATATACTAAGAACCCACAAAAAACATCAAATCACAACTTTACCTCCAGTATCCACATGACTACTGTGATGAGGCTTTGCTGTTGTAGATACACTTCTTTGAACTTTTGCTTGTGATGTATAGTCATTTATGGAGCTCTCTACCAAGGGCTGCAGTACTCGAAGTGACAGATTGGATCCCGACTGTGAACCACAAATTTCATTCTGTCAACATACTTAATGATAAGCATATTACACAAAGCAATATTAAATTATATAACAAAAAACTGTAATTCTTCCATTTTGATTATGACACAGTCTAAGACCTAATTAACATATAAAAAACATAACAAGTGCATCATAATTAATTTCAAGTGGCAATGTTATATCCCATTAGACAATTAGCTTCACATTTTGATAGTTTTATGAAATTTTCCCAAAGTTACACATTGGTAAGAGAGCTATTTAAAATCATTATATTTGAAAATTGAAGCACTAACTAAAAAAAAAAAAAAAAACAACATAAGTTTCACCCAACATTTTCAGTAACTGCCATTCGCCAAGTAGTTAAACTGTTGTAAGCATTATGCTTTCAACTACTGCTCCTATGAAGATTTTTTTTTTCACTTTAAGTATAAATGATTTAAAAAAGCTTTGATCTAACAAAAAGAAAGAAAAGGAGAGTTTACTTACAAAGTTAAACATATTTTTAGCATTTTAAAAAATTGCATATTAATGTAACTTTGAATTCAATAATGAAGTGTTTTATGAAACTGACTGAATGGCCACAAGATCTTAACTAGCTCATTTTCTTGTGAAATTTTTACATCATCATGACAAAATTTGGCTCAAAGAAAGGTTGGACTCCATCGTATCATTATGAAGTGAGGTGACCGGCATTAAACTCCTAAAACACCCTTACCCCACTTCTCACCATAGAGGACCCCACTATTAGGTCCCAATCAGTGAGGATTCTCCATGGTCCACCACCCCAGCAGCTGAGAGCTGATAAGTGGTAAGGGTTTCCCGTCCTTCACTCAAAGGGAAAGTTCATGTAGAGAAGACCTGGAGAATGTGCCTGTATTCCAATCAGGCACCTGCTACAAAGGTCTTTTACTAGAGACAGTAAATGGGTAATCGTGAAACCCTATTTTTAAAAGCCAGCAAGCACTAGCCAGAGAAGCAGGCAGATGCATAAACTCTGGTGATGGCTTTTTCCATGATATTCAATGGAATGAGTATAGTCTGGATCAGACTGGAATTTTATATACAACTACCACAAGTAAACTTCTAGTGGTCTTGCAGAACTCCTCACAGTGGGCACTGAATGAGCCAGGGTGAATGTTAGTATAAATGCTTTCCATTATTCCAGCTTGATGTGGATTTTGGGTAAGTATACCCTGGGAGGTAACACTAGCCACTTAGTGGGATCTTATAGTGATTATAAGGTGACTAATATGTACATTCACCTGCTGACAGACAGAGGGAGGATTGAGGAATGCCCATGAGTAAAAGTTAAAATCTTAATGGAGACAAGGCAGCCAGGAGATGCAAGTAGTGGGTGATGAAGTAGTGTGGGGTAGTCTATATGTGAGCCTGGAGAAAAGAGAAGGGTGAGAGAAATTAGGAGGAGAAAAACTAAAGAGAGGAGACTCAAGAGAGTATACAATCATCTGTCTCCAGAGTGGCATATACTAGATGTATGAGCTAAAAGATCCAACCTATAATGTGGCAAGGAGAGAGGCCTGGGATAGAGAAGGGGTTCTAGGTTAGAAAGGGCAGTGAGGGGAACCAAGACAGAAGGAAGAAAGTGACAAAACACTGAGTGACCTGGATATGACAAGACTGTCTGTTTGGATCAAAAATAAAACCAAGAATGGAAGCAGAAGGAAAGGAATGACCACTGTCCCCTGCCATGGAATATGATGGAAGGAAAGACCAGTCAAGATGAAGAAGAAGGTAAGTATGATAATGAAAAAGTGGGAGGAACCAAGGGCATAGATATATCAACAAAGGTGACCACCAACAAGTAGGAAGAGGACTAACACATCTAGTAAGAGCAAAAACATTTGCTAGAGGCACAACAGGGACCCAGGTATGAGCATAGAGAATCACAGTAATGGGGAAGAAATTATACTAATACATCAGGAAAGGTGGAAGGTAGAGGAAATGCCACGCGAAAACCCATAATAGAAAAGACACAAAAGAACAGTCCTGTGAAAGAAGAGGAATATGTTACAATTCAAGGAATTCAAAGAGAAATGGTGACAGTGAGTCCAAGGAGATACTTATGTCCAGTATATTGGCACATTGAAGTGATAGGAGTGGAACAAAGGGACATCTAGATGATTAGGGAGGCAGACCAGACAAATTCCACATGCAAAGATAAAGGGATGTCCTATCCTGATGAAAGAATGATGTGTGGGAGTAGATCTGAAGGGATGGAATGTTGGGAAGGAGAAGTCAGGATTGACACACGAGAGATGGAGTAATAGAAACCAAGGTTGGGATCATTTGTGATGGACAAACAAAGGGATGTCCCAAAACAGAGCAAAAACCTGAGGGAAGAGGTGGAGAGGATAGGGATAATGAAAAAATGGGACTAGTCCTGAGTGAGGGGATAGGCAGCCAGGGCTGAGGAATGAGGTCCAGGAGACCAGAATAGAGGAAAGGTAGCAATGAGAGGTATAACAAAGGCAAGAAAAAGAGGAGTAAAAAATTGAAATCAGAACAACAGAAGACTAGTGGGTAAGGAACCAATCCATGGGAAGAACATGATCATGTTGAGAAGTAATGAACTATAACAAAATCTTATCATCGGTGCTTAACATGTCAGGGAGTAATGAATGAGAACTAAACATTATCTTCCATAAGGAGTAAATAATTGGAACTGAACATTATATATCAAATGTACCTGTTAAGATAGAAAGAACTGTGACAATACATTAATCATTAAGTGGACATGTTATGGAGTAATGCACTAAGTCTATACATCATCATCAAAGTGTAGCAAGTTAAGGAAAAGTAGATGATATCAAAATATTATCTCCTATGAATACATGTAAGGAGTAACGAATTATAACTAAACATGAATGTCTATATACATATGTTAAAGAGGAAGGAACTAGGTCGAAGTATTATCAACCATTCGCAATGGGAGCCCCTTTAAACGCTTTTCTATGCAAGTCACTGTGCTACATTCAAAATTTAATTAAATACCTTGAATATCAATGTATGTAAATTTATTTAATATTAAAATATGCATTACGATTTGAAGTTTTATTTTATTCAAGTTTTAAGTCCTTTATTCCAAAATAAACCTTTAAAAACCACTTAAAACTTCAGATGTACTGTCACATGACTAACAAGCTATGAAAATTCTCTACTTTGATACTGTATTTTCAATAACACAATGGTAGTACTGTAGAGGTATGTCAAGACAAGAAAATGCTTTGATTAACCTTTTGACTCTAAATGAAGACAATTTTAAAAATTTTTTCCACTTCTGACAGCTGCCATGTCCACCTTCAACAGATTTGTTCGAGCTTTATAGCCTCCATGTAGATGTTACATACACGTGTATAACCATTAGAAAATGGTTATTTTACAGTATAATCTAACAATGGTTATTTTGAAATTGGCAACAAGTTGTTGTCACAGAGTATATGAAATTGGCTATAGTATGGTTGGCTGTTGGATCGATTATACCACTTATGGTTCTTTCTTACCTAAATGTGTTATAGTATGAGACAAAGTTTAAATTGTATTTAGGTCTTACTATTATATTTTAGTTAATTATGTATTAATTTGGGGTTTAAAATGCATAATTAAAATGTTAAAATTTTTTAAATATATATCATACTTTGCATCCATTCTTAAGGCTTACGATATTATGCACTGAACGGAAATTGCGCCAAGGGTTGTGCATATCTCCCAAAGAAACTGTAATATGCCTCGAGGACACCAATAACTTGTGTCAAGATGAATAAGAGTGGTAAAGGACAATAATGGAAAATAAAACATTAAAAACTAACTATATGTGAAAAGAAAAAAAAACCTGAAATTATGAATAAAAGAAAAATAACATCTTTAAAGATATTCTGCAAAAAATCAAAGGGTATGTATTTTTTTTCCCAATTTTAATCACTTCATTGCATTGTGTGTTGATGATAATAGCTAGAGATAGTGATGTGGTAAAGAAAATGAAAAATAAAATATAAACATTTACCTTAAGGAAAACTATTGATATCCTTTTATGAGATTCTAGAGATTATGCAAGTGAAATATGAAAACTGTAAGATGAAGAAAAGTATTTTTAAACTTAAAAAGAAAATCACCTTGCAATCGATTTGTTAATAGTTTCAACGCAAGAACTACAACAGAAAAATAACATAGTTTTAGTAAAAACATTTAATCATAAACCCATCATTATCTGTGTACAAGATATTTATGATCTTTAACAAAATCTTACTAGTTTTTGAGAGGATATGTTATGAAATCTCAGCTACCACATGTATTGCTGTACAAGTGAAATTTGCAACTCGATTTCTGCAAGTTCCATGAGCCTGCCGCAAAAGGGCTAAGGAGTAATGAACTATAATAAAACATTCCTTCTATGTGATATAAGGAGTAAGGAACTATGACTAAGCAATATAGTCTGTGTGTTATATGTTAAGAAGTAGTGAACTGAACTAAACATTACCATGTAAGAGTACATGTTAAAGAGTAAGCAACTATTTCTAAACATCAACAGTTACGTCTAAATGGAAAGAGGCAATGAACCATGACCAAACACTATATTCCAAGTGTTACATGTGAAGTACTGATTAACTATATCTAAATATTATTTCCTTTGTGTACATGTAAAGGAGCAATTAAATATGTCTAAACATTATCTCTAATAAGCTACATGTCAAGGAGTAACAGCTAGAACTAATCATTGTTATGTGTACATGGCAAGGAATAATTAAGCAAGACTAAGAATTATCTTTCATGTGTACATGTGAAGAAGTGATGAACTAGATATAAACATTACCTTCTATGTGGACATGTTAAGGACGAATCAAGAAATCAGCCAGAACGAAATATTAATGTCTATGTGTTACATGTTAAAAAGCATCTAACTGTAACTAAACATTAATGTCCATGGTAAGGAATAAGTAAATGACCAAACATCCACTTCATGTGAAAGGGTATGTAACTATGACTAAACATTATAATCTATG